GTTGAATTTACTGATTTTTTTTTTTTTCTCCTTTTAATAATCCTTCTTCTCCATTATCTGTGAAAGGATTGTTTAGCTGTGTAGTAGTAGGTAAGTGTTCCCAGTGACCAAGGACAGATTTTGAGTCAGTAGAACAGTAAAGAACAAAATACGTGTCCTGCCCTTTAGCCACTGGATTGTACAGTTGTACTTCACTTATTAACCCTTCGTAAAACTGTACTACAGAGAGTTTCACTTTGACTCGGTACAAGCCACTGCGTGCACATTGTTTGCAGGGAAAAAAACTACCATTTCCGTCACTTGTCTTTGAAATACTGTAGTATTTAGAAAAGGCAATTGATTTGAGTGCTTAAAAAGCAGCAGAATAAGCCTATGAAGGAAAACAATAGGTAGCGGTTGTTTATGTGAATGCCCAAAATGATCCTAGAATGTTGTTTGACTTTACATAACCCATTTGGAAACATGGTTGTAGTCACCCTAGAAGTTCCCTTTTCCTCCTGCCTTTCTTAGGTCATTGTCAAGCCCTGAGTGTTCCAGGGAAGCAAGTGGGCAAGCTGATCTGGACCAGCAGATCTCGCACGACATGGCTCCCCCTGAATCCAGCAGCAAAGCATACAGAGATCAGTCTCAACAGGGTGATTGGCACTGAGCCTGTGGGGTGCAAAACTGGATAGGAACCAGTCACCTCCCTCCCTTCCATCTCTGCACGCTTTAAGTTAATCCTGACTGACTTCACTTGTCAACCTATGCTCCTGTGGCTCAAGTGTCACCCTCAAAGATAGCGTGAGGTTAGCAGAGGTCTTTGGTTGTTTTGACTGATCCAAAGCTGAATCAAGTCCCTTCATGAAGAAGGGTTCTGCTGAGCTGAAAAGGGAACATCACCAGTTCCTGGGTGAGAGGTTGTAGTAAGGAGGTGGTGAACCACTGCTACTCTGAAGTCACCCCCACTTCCCCAATATGCAGGCAGACACAGTGTCTTCTGGGTGGGGAGAAGGCTCTGAGCACATGTACATTCAGTAGGAAATGAGTGAGGAGGGAGTGTTGTTCTACAGCATCGTGTGGGACAATGACTGTTACTAGCCAGGCTGAGGGCGGTCACGCTATGATGGTTACTCAGCTCCAGTGTTGCAATAGGAGCAATGGTATGTTTCTTGCAAAACATTACAGGAGCTTGCTCATTCATAATTGCTCTCTTATCTTACTCCTTGGCCACAGCGATCCAAACTATACTGAGAAAAGCACATAAACAGTTTCGTCTGCCTCCATTGTAAAGGCAGGAAT